TTATTTTTTTTGCATCAAACAGAGATGGATAGTTGAGGGGAAATCCTTCTTTAAGCTTCAAGGTTAGGAAAGTGAGGTTATCAGGGCATGTAGGGAAAACCTGGGCTCCACCACCAACTCCACTCTAAATCAAGTTAATGCTGGAATTGGTACAAATGTGGGGTGCCAGAAGATCAGTGGTGATGCTTTTATATTTTTCTTGTGAAATAAAAGGGCTGATGTGGAAGTTATGACATGGAAGATGAGCAAATGGGCCAAACATGGAGTCATCTATGACCTTCTAAGTGAGCAGGTGGTCAGTTGACTCAGGTCGATTAACTCTGGTTGGCTGATTTATTTATTTATTTATTTGCATTGAACAGAGGTGGATAGTTGAAAGGAAGTCCTTCTTTAAACCTTAAGGTTAGGAAAGTAAGGTTGTCAGGGCAGACAGGGAGGACATGGCCCCCACCACCAAGGAGCAGATGTGGAGGAAGTGGCACTGGGACATGATGCATCCAACATTGTTGCAGTTACTGCATATATGGTAAAGGCCCTTTGGTGCATGATGAATCTGCCTTTTTTTATTTATGCTGTTGGATGCAGGAAAGTTGTCAGATGGGACTGATGATGCTGGTTTTGATGGTATGGGCACTGACAACGCTACATGTTGCAAAGCCAGAATGGTCCGGATGATAGCAGGAGGCTGGAGTTGTCCTCCAAGACAATGGAGATGGAGAACTGCAGCAACTGGCAATTGATTGTCCTTGAATTTCCATGTCCTCTGTTTTCTGATGAGGGAGATGAGCTGGAAGACAAGGTGGATTAATCATGTGAATAAGGTAGTCTTCTATGTTTAATAGAGAACAAACAAACAGGATACGGACCATGGAATAGACTGTTTTGAAGCTTGCTGGACTCTCTTGCTTTCTGGATGGCTTTTAGTTTATAGAAAGCAGGGGCCCAGACATAGAGGTGGCAGAGCAATATTCCACTTCAGTTGCTGGGTCTGCTGATGTGGGCTGACAGACACTTTGGACATGGTTGGCCTAATTTTGTCTGAATAGATCGTTGTCAGATAGTGGGGGATAGTGAGACAAAGTCCATACTCAAAAGGAAGTGATTTTACCTCTCAGAATGTGGATGATTTGGGTGTCTCTGACCACAGATGCATCATGTTCTCAACCCTGTTTCACACTGTCCCTAACCCTAAATTACCTGTCCATTACTCTCGGTCTGTAAATAAATCCACTGCTAGTAATAGCACAGAGGCTTACACTGCCATCTCTCTTTTTAATACCGTACTTGGCCATCCATATCACTTGAGCACAAAACAGCTAATCACAGAGTTCAATTTAATCTGTGGAGACATTTTGGAATCATTTTGCCCCTCTGACACCCAAAAAACCTCACACTAAAAGTCAGCCATGGCTGAATAGTCAGACCAGTGCTCTCAGGCAACTTTGTCGACAGGCAGAACGCAAATGGAAAAAAGACAGACTTCAAGTCTCACTTGACATTTTGAAAGGCATCCTGGCAAACTATTAGCAATCTGTTAAAGCTGCAAGAGCAAAATATTTCGCCACCATCATTTCCAGAAACTCTCACAGTCCCAAAGCTTTGTTTCACACAATAAATCTGGTCCTTAATCCTGTTGTTGCTACCTGTCCTGTCTCAATCACAGCCATTTTTGAGGAATTTTGAAACTTTTTCTTTCAAAAAGTAATCACATTCAATCTAATGTTTCATCGCCTGCCAGTGATCCCTCTCTGGTGTCTACTGGCTCTGCCAGCTTTACTGACTTTCAGCCTGTGTCTTTGTCCAACATTTTTGATATCATCTCACAAACTAAGACTGTAGGTCCCACAATCTCCCTTTTTATAATAGTAGTCTCACAAATGGAACTGTGCCATCCTGTTTTAAACATGCCATAGTGCATTCCCTCTTTAAAAAGCCAAACCTTGACAACTCTGTACTAAACAATTTCTGTCCCATCTCCAAGCTTCCATTCCTGTCCAAAGTACTGGAGAAAACTGTCTACTCACAGCTTCTATCTCATCTAGCTAACAACAACATCATGGAGACATTTCAGTCAGGTTTTAGGGCTTGATACAGCACAGAATCTGTCCTTCTCAAAGTGTCAAATGACCTACTGCTGTCTTTAGATAGTGGTAAATGTGCAATTTTAATAATATTAGACCTCAGTGTGGCCTTTGACACTGTTGATCAGTATTTATTATTAAAACATCTTCAAGAACTGGTTGGCATCCAGGGAACTGCCCTCAAGTGGTTTGCCTCCTATTTATTGGGCAGGTCTTTTTCTGATAAGATTGGTGGCCTCTCCTCCTCATCTGCCCATATCACTTGTGGTGTACCTCAAGGTGCCATCTTAGGGTCCATTTTATTTGCACTGTACAGGGCTTCCATTAGGCTCCACTTTCCGCCAGCACAAAGTCTCTTTTCACTGTTATGCCGACGACACACAAATTTATCTTCCGTTAATCCCAGGGGATTCCAGCTCAATCACATCCCTCCTTAACTGCCTCCAGGATGTGAAATCCTGAATGGCAAAAAACTGTCCTCAGTTAAACAATAACAAAACAGAGGTTATTGTTTTTAGTCCCCCCAACACCGAAACCAGCATAGTCAGCCACTTAGGACCACTNTTTTTTTTTTTTTTTTTTTTTTGGTGCTGACTATATACAAACATCGATGTGACATCAGTCATTAAAAACCAGCCTTATTACATTAATCTGCGGACACAACAGACCCATGAGCATGATGAATTACACCTGATCCACTTACTGACGGTCTCTTAAGAAAACTAAAGAGTGTTTGAAACCCTTGAGGGCTGAGCTGTCTTCACAAGGCAGACTCAGGCAAATTTAAAAACAGGACACCTAAGGCATATTGTTGGAGAGTTTGAGAGGTATATATTAAAAGTTTACTAGAAGCACTGGAAAAAAAACTTGATTGGTGCACCCATTCAACTGATTCTCCTGAGAAAATCATGCGTCTGTGTAATGCCAAGAATTCATTATAAAGTCCTTAAACCTCCATCACAGTACAAAGTAAGTCATGCTCGTGTTCCTTGCCCTCCTCTAAAAACAGGTACCTCTATTTATTCAATTAAAAGATCACACCTTACATTGGATTTTGGAAATTATTAAATAATCCATTACTCTGCGTCAAAGTCACTCTCCATATTACGCATCAGTTGCTCTGATATCTTTCAGTGGCTGCAGGATGGGAGTGGGGAGCGCTGAAGATGTGGGAGCTGTACAGGGAATAGTCATCTTCCGTTACTGAGCCTTCTCAGACAGAGCAATAGCAGCTTCCTTCTCTTGTCTTTGCTCCTCCCTCCATCTTGCTTTCTTCTCCATGTTTTGACCAATCAGGGACTCGTGTCTGCCCACAGCCCGTTTGCCCAGGAGCACCATCACCATACAGGCCCCTATTGTGGCCGCCATCATGATATAGCAGACTTTCACTCTGACTTTGTTTCTGGCAGCATCAATCATCTCAAACGACACAAACTCTGGTATCTGGTCTGCTGTCTTGAAGCGTCCCGACCAGAGAAGGATCTTCTTGTCCATATTTGAGGGTTTGTAGCCTGGGATTTTGAACCCGGCGCGAGGTGCTTGTGCTGGGACTGCAGGTGGTGGAGGCTCTGCTTTGGCCTCCTGTGGTTTACTGCACATCCCTCTATGGCTCCATGTTTCAGTCACCCGTCTGCACCTCTGACCTATGAAGTTTCCGATGGAAAGACGAGACCTGAGGAAATTCATGTTTGTTTCTGTTAAAATAAACACAGCACTACGTGTCTATCGAACCCTTGAACGTTGTCTATTAACCTGGCTGGTGGGTAATGGAGATCGTGCTTTTATTTTGCAGTCACTGCTCCAGAGCTCGAGAGCCTTCCGCTCTTAATCAAATGCTCCCCCTCCATCGACACTTAATCTTAAATCTTAAAATGTACATTTTTTCAATGGCCTTTAGTTGTCTGTGGTGATTTTAATATTTTAGTATTTATTTTATTATTATTTTATAATATTTTTATGTTTGTAATTGTTCTTACCAGTTTTATTCTGTTATACATTTGTGTACATTCTATAGAGGGGGGGTTGCTATATGAATAAACTTGATTTGATTTGATATGATTGAACAGATGTTGTTCATTGGATGAAGTAGTAGCTCACTTGTGTGTGTTTGAGGCAGTGATTTCAGTTCTGACACAAAACGCAAGAGCGAACGAGGAAGAGGGTGAGGTGGGTAATTATAGAAATGCTGGGATTGGTGCAGGTTAGGTGCGATCATCCTTTACTAGTAAGCTTCATTTAATGTATGCCCTGCCCACTATCAAAACTCCAAACACATGATTGGACGCTGCTTCTTGCACTCACACAGTAACAGTAGTTTGGTTTCAGATTCACTGTACAATCTAGATCACCCTGCTGAGTAAAACCCAGATCCCACCTTTCAATCACCCCAGGTGCCACATTTATTTCTGGCTGATTGATCTGACTCAAAACACTTCCTCCTTGCCTTCTTTACAATTCAGTAAAATATAAACACACTGATGACACACTGATGTGAAACACATATTAATATCTTATACTGTGACTTAAACTTCCCAAAAATGTTATTATGTCTGAATCCATCCAGAATTAACATCGATAAATTCACTTTGAAGTCATAGAAAAATTAGGTTGCAGATTTTCCAAAACATCGTCTTTTAAAATTTTACTTAGATTTGATCTATTTTAATCTTAAGTATCCATTATTTTAGAGTTTTAATCTTTCAGTTTTATTTGTTGTTTTTAATTTCGTGAGGTTTTTCATTTTGTTTATTTATTTGTCTCATTTGATTTTCATTTTTAAATATGGTTTTTAAATGTATTTATGTATGTATGTAGTTTATAGTGATTTGACTTGAGTCAGGTCGTTTTCAGTCAGTCTGTGTAAAGTCAGTAAACCTGTGCAGCTGAATGTCTCTTGTTAAACCGTGTCGTCCATTATAGGTTGAATTTACCTGACATGAAGTTGACACTGGTGGAGCTGGAGAAGGTGATCTACACTGTTTAATATTTTTTTTTATTTTCTTTTATCATCATCATCATCATGTTTTTTTTTTTAATTTTTAATGTCTTAACAGCTTCAGATGGCAATCAAAGAGATGTTCCTGAAACTGCCGAAGGATCTGGGAAGGTATGAATCTAGAGAAGGAGGAGAAGGAGGGGGAGGGGGAGTTGAGATAATGCAGAAATTGAGGAGAAGGTAAAGGAGAGTCTGTCAGTGTACATATTGAATCTGTTGTTGCTCTTTATCCATAACTTTTTAATATGACCTGCCCACCACTAAAAATCCAAACGCTTGATTGGACGCTGCTGCTTCACACTCACACATTAACAGTTGGCAGGTTTCAGGTTTACTGAGTGATCTGAATCACCCTGCTGTGTCAAACTTGGATCGGGTCTTTCCATCAGGCCAGATTCCACATAAATTTTGACCCATTGCTGCAGTATGAGTTGAAATTCTCCCTCCTTTTGTTCTTCATAACTCTGTATGTATTATATTCATTTATATGCAGGGGTGATAGAAAAAAAAATCCTAAGCCTGAAATTTTTTTTCAGGTTGAGGCATGAGGAATGGATCATCACAAGGTTATTATTATTTAAGTATTTAGCATCACAGAGACTGGTGGTCAGTGGGATGTGAGGATTCTTAAAATAGCATCTGTACAGATGTGAGGCCCTGACTATATCTCACTGATCTTTAATAAAAGCTGTTGTCATGTATTTTTTTTCCTCTGAAAATATGAAGCTTAGAGTCAGACACAATTTATTTAGCCTGTGTATTTGAGGGGAGAGGTCTGCTCTGCAGCAGCAAACTGATATGATGCTGATTAACATGAGAATTAATGTAAAATGGAATTTAAACCATGAACATGAATTACAGATCATCTGTAAAGCATTATAATAAATTAATCTTTCATAATTAAAACAATTGGAGACTGAGAACAAACTTGTAGCCTGTATAAGTCTGATGATATTTTAATAAACCGACATCGTATCGGACACACCTGACAGCAGTTTTTTTGTCACCTCCTCCTGCTGCAGCCGCCTGCTCTCGTCTACTTTCCAGGCGAGGCGCAGTTCATCTCGAATAAGCCTGTTGATGGCAATACACTCATACAGAGCACACATCCTGCACTGGTATGTCAGCGGTGACTGCAGCTCCCGGTAAATGCGTTACGTGCTTTATTGCATGCACAGCAGCTTTATGACCGGGGTCTAATTCATGCCGTGATAGGACTTTCTTGCCGCTGGTTGCATACATCAATTTATGTGAGCACAATGTGCAGAAACACGCACCCAGTTCCCTTAGTGTTTAGCACCAGCTCCCAAAAGGCTTTCCATCTATGCTTATCTCTTCTATCCATGCCCAGTGCCATTTATTTGTGAGTCTTTTATCGACTACATTTTCCCCGGGTTTTATTAACTTACTTTCCATCTTGATGAGAGTGCTTACGGCATGGGCTCCACCAGAATCTGAAGTTGGCTCTGAACCAAATTTGTCCCTCCCCCCAAGACCTGCCCCGCTCTACTTCTGATTGGCTAGTAGCCTAACTTTGGTCTGGTTGGGAGCAAAAGCCATAGGTTGAGAGCGAGAGGTCTCCGTTTAAAGTGCTTCTACCAGAGTCCATTTACTGTCGCATGCATGTATCCCGCATCAACTTTTTTTTTTTTCCCTCGCCCATCGCCACACACTGGAAATCTGGCTCGGTGCCGGATTCCCATCACACCTGATTTATATGTTATTAAAAACTGACTTAACTCTTTTTTTAATTTCTTATTTGTGTACTTATTTATGTTTTCCATTTAATTTATTTCTCAATTTTTTTAAAAATATTTTCATTTTTAAATATTGTTTTTAAAGTTATTTATAGTTTTTAGTGATTTGACTTGAGTCGGATCATTTTCAGTCTGAGTTTGTGTGAAGTCAGTTAACCTCTTCAGCTGGTTGTCTCCTGTTGAACTGATAAAAATCCTCCTATGTCTTCTACTGTAGTTTGAATTTACCTGAGATAAAGTTGACACTAGTGGAGCTGGAAAAGGTAATCTGTACTGTTTGATTTTCTTTTTATGATCATCATTTCTGTCAACACTTACTGAACATCCAAATGGAATAATAATAATTTTTTATATGTGGTTACAGCTTCAGATGTCCATTGGCGTGATGTTTAAGAAACTGAGAAAGGATCTTGGAAGGTATGAAACATGGGAAAGATGAGGACATCTGTTATCAGTGAAAATAATTGACTCTTTTATTTCCCTTAAAAAGCACTATCACTGGGATTCAATGTTGCCCTAGCCACGCCAGAAAATCCAAACACATTGGGACACTGCTGGTGTCCTGTAGACAGGTTTCAGATTTACTGAGTGATCTGGATCACCCTGCTGTGTCAAACCTGGATCAGACCTTTACATCAGCCCAGGTTCCACATCTATTTTGAGCCATTGCGACATTCTGTCAAAATTCTCCCTCCTTGTTTTTCAAAACTCAGTGAAATGTGAACAGACTGACATGAAACAAACTGATATCATTCAGTGTGACTTAGACATCTCAAGGATATCATTATCGCTGATGTCCATCCAGAATACAAATCCATATCTCAATTTATAAATCAGACCGAAAAAACACTGCAGAATTTGGCTGAGAATCATGTTCGTAAGGTTAAATCTCTCTATCATTGGATCTTCGTTTATTAATGTAATATCTATGTATTTTATTTTTTAGTTATACTTAAAGTGCAGTATACAACAATTCATATTATAAATCAGAAATTATTTGTCCAATCATTACAAAACTCGCAGGATCTGTTTCATAACTGCTGAACCACGTGTGTAAAGTTATTTCAAAATTGCCATGTGCAAAAGTTATTGGAAATTAATAAGTGTTTGTCCAATCATCAAAAAACTGTCACAGCTCTCAACTTCAAATGGCCCAAGCTGGCTTGAACCCCGAAATCGCCTATATATATATTTCAGTCAGTTTTTGTGAAGCCAGTATACCTGTGCAGCTGCTTCTCTCCTGTTAAATTGATGAAAATCCTTCTATGTCTTTTGCTGCAGTTTCAACTTACCTAAAATGAACTTGAAACAGGTGGAGCTGGAAAAGGTAATCTACACTGTTTGATTTTTTTCATCATCATCATCATCATCATCATCATCATTATTTCTGTCAAGACTCCATGAACAACATTAATTTGCTATAACACTTAAAAATATGTTTACAGCTTCAGATGTCCATCAATGAGATGTTCAAGAAGCTGACTATGAATCTGGGAAGGTATGAAACGTGATGAAGAGGAGGAGGTTTGAGATGATGAAGAATATAAGTGCAAACAAAGATTCTGTTTTTACGCTTTGAAGGCACCAACTCTTTAATGTGGGCCTGCCCCGACCACTTCAAAACTCTCAACACAAGTGGACACTGCTGCTGTTAGTCACACATTAACAGCTGACAGGTTTCAGGCTGCTGAGTCCAACCTGTATCAGGTCTTAACATCAGGCCAGGTTTATTGATTTCTGACCCATTGCCACATTTTGAGACAGCATTTTCCCTCCTTCTGTCCTTCATATGAGAAATGTGAAATGTGAACACACAAACATAAAAAAACCCACAAAGTGATATCATTCAGAGTGACTTACACTCCTCAAAGATATTGTTATCACCGTTATCCATTCAAGTTTTTTCTCATTTACAGTCTGAAAAACACTTTATCAAAATTCACTGCCTGATATCATAAATTGAGTCCCCCTTTGTGCTGATTTTTGTTTTTTTTTTTCAGAGAAAAAACTGATATGTGAAATAAATTGTAATATTATAATTTTAGCCTGGTAATGTTAGCTAATGTCAGGATGCTTGCTAAGGTTAACAAATTGCTAGCTAGCTAATGTAACAGAATACTGTCTTGAGTGGAAACCCATCCTGGGTTTGGTTGCTTGATGAAGCAACCAATGCTCAATCCATGCAGCATAGCTAAATCAAACCTGACTAACCTTAGCCTGCTTGCTAGCTAACATTATCACTTGGGTAGCTTGAAATTACTTTACTACTTAATGGGATCCATGATACTTAATGACTCATTATGACAAATGATGTTAACTTAGCCAACATTAAATAATGTAACATACAGAGGTGTATAACGATCACTTGCTCTCTAATAGCCCAGAGTAATGCACAATGATGGCACCCAACTACCTGTAACCTAAGCTAAGCTACAGTTAGCCAGCTAGTTATAACTTAGCTGCAAGGCATGGATCTGCTGTGTGCTCTGAAACGTTAGCTGATGAGGTCATTTCCAAACTGCAAGCTAGTTTATATTATGGATTCCTGGAGACCACCCCAGGAATGAGTCCCAAAACCCAGGAAATAGGTTATATTTTACCATTCCTGGTTCCCTCATCTCAAGGTCAATGGGTTTTTTGAATGGGTTTATTGGTTAGATGCCTGAGATAAGGTCTGTGGTTAATAAAGCTTTAGAGTCTTTCAGCTTTTGTTCTATGACATGAAATACATTTGTAAATAGCCCACTCTTGAATTTTGAAGCTTTTATGTGTCTTTAAAAATCGGTTGCTAAGAAGTTGCATAACGAGACTACAGAACATCGTCACACAAACCACGGCTGTACAGCCTCACTGTTGTGGCGATGATGAGTCACGTCACTGTGGTATAGTTAGTTTATAGCCTAACTTTTTACTTCTGGGGATTGTATTGAGGATAAAAAAAAATATAAAAGTGTTGTTCATTTTTGTCAATTATCCTGCTTAAAGCTGCAGTAGGTAGAAAGCCTGAAAACGGTTGATTTTTGAGTCTCATCTGAGTTAGGTTTCGTTCGTCTCCACCCTGAGCCTCTCCCTCGTGGCCCCGCACATACTCCCGAGCCTCGGCTCTCCCTCACCGCGCAACAGCCTGCCCCATCCCTCCCTCGCGGCCCCGCACATACTCCCGAGCCTCAGCTCTCCCTCACCACCCAGTAGCCCGCCCTGCACATACCCCCGAGGCTAGGCTCTCCCTCTCCGCGGAGAGCCCTCGGCTCCGCTCCCATGGCCAACCCTAGCGCCCTCCGGCCGGGCCCGGCCCCACCTCACCCTTCCCCTCCCTCCGGGGCTCTGGGGAACCGAGTTCTGTCTTCCTTTTTTTGGCTTGTTTAGCCATGTAGGCAGTTGTAGCCAGTGCTGGAATAGCTATTTTACCTGGTGCACTGTTCACCATTGCCGCTTGCTCTCCCCTTCTGCTGGCGGCACGGGAACGTGCATATGCAGTAGAACAGCCAATAGGAACGCAGTGGTCTGAGCTGACCTTTGATTGGTTGATGCACATCAGCACAATACTGATTCTTTAGAGGCTGAACACAGAGCCATGGTGAGGTGCAGAAACCTATTGTTTGTCTCAGACCACTTGATTTAAATTATGCTTAGAGGATATTATAACATTTTTACTCAATTATACCAAAATAATGTTGCCTACTAGAGCTTTAACAAAACATGGAAGTATCATAAATGTTTGTTTGCCACAAAACGTAAATTATGACTATATCTATGGCTCTATGAGACCGAACGATGACCGTCACCATGGTCTTTACCTTGAATGATGCCTTCATCTCCTTATCCTATATCAACAATGTCATGTGACTGACCTTAGGAGGCTTGGCTCGCTGCCCGTAAAAGCACCCCAGTGAGCACACCTCCTCCTCTTGCTGGAACGCCTCAGCCCGTTCTGAGTGACAAGAGATGGTGATGGTCATTGTTTGGTCTCATAGATCCATAGTTATAGTCATAACTTACAATCTAGTTTGACCTCACTCAGACTGTCACCACAGTCTTTACCTTGGATAACTAGTACTGGCAGTGTCGCGAAGAACAGAGGACTCCACCGCCTCACAACCTCGCCCAGCAGCTGAGAGTAACACACGGCCGAACACAGTGGAGCAGTGGATGCCACGTTGACTCTGTAGAACCTGGAAAAGGTACAGGAAGTACTCCATGTTGCAGTTGCACATATTTCTGAAAGAGGAACCCCCTTCAAAACAGCCCAGAAAGTGGCCACACTTCTGGTGAGCTACCACATGGCCTGGGATGGGGATATCTTGACCAGAATAGGTCTCAACAATAATTTCAACAATCCAGTGGGACAAGCACTGTTTGCTGTAGCTACTTTCATAATTGCATCCTTCTGGAGAAGGGCCAAGATTTCCTCTGCCAACACCTGTGCCTGGGCCGGGTCTCTGACAACTAGGGTTGGGACTCGTTAGGATTTTAACGATTCTGATTCCTTACCGATTCCTCTTACCGATTCCTACATTATATTCATTATACTTGCTTAAACAAGTATAAACACAAATGCAATCATACAAATACAAAAACTTTATTCTAACTGTTGCACAGTACAATTAGATGAAAATACACATTTGTGTGTGGTGTGTATTTCAGATTTAGAGCTTGTATCATCTCCCTGAGAATATATAACAACAAAAAGTGATTCTCTGATTTCTACAGTAACACTATTACCTCAAATTAATCACAGCAATGTAATAAAAAATACTTATATGCATTCATGCTTGGGCACTGTTATTTACGTGACAACACCTGAACAGAACACACACATACATTGGCTGTTTGTTTCTACCTTTCCCCTCACTGGAAGTCTCGGACCTCCCGCCGCCAGCCTCCGCCTTGATTAAACGCTGAAAATAAAATAAAAGAGGGAGACAGGTTTCTCCTATTTTATCTTATTTTGTTATATTTCTCCCTCTCCCCGCGCTGGAAGCCTCGGGCCTCTCGCTGCCCGCTCCCGTCTCAAACACGGAGGTCTCCCTCTCCACAGAGCACCCATGGCGCATGCCCGGCCTGTTAAATAGCCTGTAATCATAACAACTGTGTGACACAAACTCAGTGCTTTAGTAATTAAATAATGCTGGGCTCGGTCGGGTTCGGACAGAAATATGCGGCCCGTGCCACACTCTAATGGAAATGCACGTGAGTTTTTTTTTTTTTTTTACAATCTAGGAACTTTGCTTTCCAGGCATAGCTGGGAACAAGTTTCGGTGACTGACCCCCGCACATCCCTAGGCGACACCCCCCTGAGGTCCTGGACCTTTGGGTGGGCGCTTCCTCTGGGGCACATCCCTAGCTGAGGAGTAAGGCTGGGACCCTTGCTGGCGCTGCAAAGGTTGCCTGGAACCCCATCCCCTGTCTTCTGCCATAAGCCCATGGCTCCTGGCGAGTCCAGGATGACTGCAGGGCAGGCTGGGAGCCCCTAGGTTTCCATCTGGCAGCTGCAGCCCTGCTGATTCTGAATGTGCGTCAGGCAGAATCCTTTGTTCGCCGGGATTGTTCAGCCTTATCCAGTACACCCTGGGAGTCAGGGTGAAACACATGTGCCGGCGCAATCAGCATATTGTTCAGCTCCTTCTGAATATTTTCAGTAACTGGTTAAACCAATTACTGATTGCAAAAGGTTAGATAAATGATAGCTATACTTAGAGTTAATATATTGAATAGTGCTGGAGTGATGGAGAGTACTGTATTGAACATGTTTCTAATATTCTGTCCAATCTGTTCCCATACATGACTGGGGCAAAATATCGGAAACACTCAGAAACACAAAATAGTCCACTCAAGTACACCACACCAGCTAAACTAATTACATTAATCACCTGTCTGACAAAATATACAGATAAAAGTTGAACCTATGGCAGAGTTGTTGTATTAAATTGCACAGATGTATTAATGAGGTGGCCAGTGCGTGTATGCATGTGCTGAGCGATCCATTAAAATTTGTAATGCATTATAATTACAGTAACTATAAGAGCAAATACAACGTCCTGTTCTCGACACAAAAACTTGAGCCCACGATCCATCCGCTGACTCCAGGTGATACACAGACTTGAGTTTGTCTGTCAATCTGCAGCAAAAAAGAAAAAAAATTCTAGGCATTGCAAAACTGTATTTCAATAAACATATATGTTGATGATGAACACTCACCGGTAACTTTATTTAGGTACACTGCATAAACCAGCCATCGTTAGGTGATGGGGGGGGGGATTGGAGGAGTTAGTGGCTGCTCAATGGCCAAATCTCACTAACGCTACGGTGCAGTTAACACACAATGTAACTGAACAGTCAGTTAGCAAACCAATTCAAACAGAAGACCAAAGTATGTTAGGAGCGCCACAGAGTTAAGTTAAATGTAACATTAACGGCTCCCGCTCAAAAAACAAATTCAAATGAAACATGGTGATAAAACAGTGCGAGCAAATAAGCTCACAGCACTTTTTTAACATTAACGTTACATGGTGACTCTCAAGACATTAAACTACATTTGGCTGACATTTTGACAACATTCAATGTGAAAATCCAGACTTACTGACCGAAATAGTGGCATACCGTACTGCGAGCCCTTGGACGTGACTGAGACAGTTGACTTCTTCTACCAACAATGCAAAGCGTGCAAAACGAGATTGCGCGCGATATTGCGATAATTAGCATTGCTACATTATTGACTCACTTGATCCCAACATGATCTGAACATATTCATGAACCCTCTCTGCATATCATGTAGTTTCTACACTATACAGTTACACTTAACTTTAGAACATGAGGCAACTGTGTTAAATACACCCAAGATGCTTACATAAATCCATGAAATGGCCAGTCTCCTTTTTTCAGTGTGTAACTGCGGCAAAAACGTAGGTCTTGGAGGAGGCGAGTGAAGCAAAGAGCAGGAGGCGTGCTCACCGGGGTGCTTTTATGGGCGGCGAGCCAAGCCTCCTAAGGTCAGTCACATGACATTGTTGATAGGATTGAGGATAGGGAGATGAGGGCATCATTCACGGTAAAGACCGTGGTGATGGTCTGAGTGAGGTCGAAATAGATCTTATTTTCTACAATAATCCAAAATCCAGTGGAAAAGTCCCAAAGGCTTTTTGATGAGGGAACCAAGGGGATACTAACTTCCATGCTAGCCTACAGAAAAACATGCTCCCTGGAACACTCTATAGTTCAAATGACATATAGGAACAGTAACATTATAACAAATAGTAACAAATTATGGAATATGATTTAAGTTTATTTTCAGCGTTCTATCATCATGGTGCCAGTTAATCACATTCAGTCTTGTGTATGTCACATCACTGTTTTGGCCGATGGCCAGTTGCTTGCTCGTGCCTACAGAATGCAAGTGCAAGCAACAGGATGCTGACTGCAGCTCACCTGAGGGCCACGTGTGTTATTAATAAAAAGGATTTTAACAAAGTTAGATAGAGAACCTTAAGATTCTTTTCATTTTTTGATAATTTCTTTAAGGTTATCATGTTTTCTTGTGTTTTATTTATTTATTTTTTTTTTATTTGATGATATCGTTAGTGATTTGACTTCAGTTATCTGTGCAGCTGTTCCTCGACTGTTGAAGTGACGAAAATATTCCTGTGTCTTCTGCTGTAGTTTGAGGTTACATGAGATGAACTCAACAGAAACTGGAGTAAGAAAAGGTCACCACCCTCATTATCCTCCTCCTCATCATAATCCACATCATCCTCATGATCATAAACATCATCCTAGTCACCATAATCATCCTCATCCTCATCATCATAATCGTCATCATACTCATGGTCATCAACCTCATCCGAATCATCATAATCATCCTCATCATCATAATCCTCATCACCCTCATGGTCATCAACTTCATCCCACTCAGCATCATCCTTCTCATCATAACCCTCATCAACTTCATGATCATAAACATCATCCTAGGCACCATAGTCATCCCTATCATTATAATCCTCACCATCCTCATGGTCGTCAACCTCATCCCAATCACCATAATCCTCATCATCATAATCCTCATCACTCTCATGGTCATCAACATTATCCTCACTACTATGGATTGGAAATACCTGAGATGGACTTTACACAGGTAACTTATGCTGTTTGATTTTTCAACATCACCATCATTATCATCATCTTTATTTTTCTAAACACTCTCTGAACATCCAAACAAAAACAAGTTGTTTTAAAAATAAAACATGTGGTTACAGTTTCAGATATCCATTGACAAGCTGTTGAGGACTCTGACAGATGATCTGCAAAGGTATGAAATGTGAGGCGAAGGAGGTTTTGAGATGATGAACAATATGAGGAGAAGGTTTGAGTGGCAACAAGTGAGGTGATAAAGATTATAAGCAGGAGGGCACTGAGTCTATTATGAGTGCAAATACTAATTTTGTGTTAAAAACGCGGAACAGACACACAGACACACCCACAGACAGAGTTCATTATTATATAGTAAGATAGTAAGATATATATATATGTAGAGAGAATGAGAGTGTGAGAGAGAGAGAGACTGGTCTAAATTATCACATTATTTGATTTCATATAGTTCATGTTTCAGTCCATTGGGATTAAATGTGTCACTCACGTGTCTCTACATTCAGCCTTTACTTAGTGTCGGGGGGTGACTCATCACCCGGACCTGCGTAGGCTACAGTTTGTTTGATCTCCTCTGTCTGCCTTGTATGTACAGTATTCCATTCGTTAACCTTTTGTGGACTTGTGTGAGGTCTTGGTCCGTTGTATGCAATAGGCTACCCAGTTCTTGTAGGGCCTTAGCTGCTGTCTCCGGGTTATCATATATTGTTGAAGATCCATCGTCATTGAAGATTTTCAGCTTTGCTGGGGCAATGATATGTGATTTAATATTTTTTCTTCAGCTGGTCTCTCATGGGTTTATACATGGCTCTCTGTTGTTTCACTTTTGTTGTAAAGTCATGGTCAAAGAAAATCCGCATTCCCTTCAGGGTCACTTTCTTTGCCCATGCTGCTTGTAGTATTTTTTCTTCGTATCATAGTTCATAAAGTTTGAAATGATCGGCCTGGCTTGTTCTGTGTTATCTCTGTAGATACAATGTGCCCGGAGAATATTAAAATCCCCCGTCCATTCTATAGTCTCTGAAAAAGTTGGCGAGAAAGCTTGTCATGTCATCAGCCTCTGTTTTCTCAGTCTTCTCTGGGACATTGTACATGGGGATATTATTTTGTCTGGACTTACTTTCAAAGTAGTCCATCTGTCATTTCTTTTGTCCTAGTCGTCAAGTTCTCGTTTGTCTTCTGTCGGGATATTTGTTGGTTTTGCATTTCTCCAACTCTGTGTTCAATTTCATACACTCTTTTGTCCATTCTTTCCAGTTTTTGCCTTAGCTCTGTAGTTTGTTCTATTATTTTCTTGATGTCTCTGTCAGTCTCCACACAATAAGCTTTAAACTCAGATCGGAAGTCTTTAATCTCCATCGTGATAGTGTCTTTTAACTCAATTTCAATCAATCAATTTTATTTATAAATCCCAATATCACAAATCACAGTTTGCCTCACAGGGCTTTACAGCATACGGCATCCCTCTGTCCTTAGGACCCTCACAGCAGATAAGAAAAACTCCCCCAAAAAAAACCCTTTAACGGGTAGATGAGCTGTTTTACTACCTTTCCCTCTGCCATTTTTTGTGGCGTGGGTCAATTGTTTGGTTGTCTTTCCACCAGATGTTTAGTTTTCATTCGTTCTTTTTTAATAAATCCAACAAGCAAGTTAAGTCAGTAGACACAAACTCAGTCAGTAAACCTGTGCAGCTGGCAGCCTTCTGCTGAACTAATGAAATTCCTCCGGTGTATTCTGTTATAGGTTGAATTTACCTGAGATAAAGTTGACACTGGAGGAGCTGGAGAAGGTAATCTACACTGTTTAATTTTTTTATTTTTTTATTTTTTTTTTATCACAATCATCATCATGATTGCTGTCTACAGTATGAACATGTTTTTAATGTCTTAACAGCTTCAGATGGCAATAAAAGAGATGTTCCAGAAACTGCCGAAGGATCTGGGAAGGTATTAAACGAGAGGAGGAAAAGGAGAAGGAGGAGAGAGGGAGAATTGAGATAATGCAGAACATGAGGAGAAGGTGAAGGAGAGTCTATTGTCAGTGTAAATGTTATCGCTCTTTAGCTGTAACTTTTTAATATGACTTGGCCCGCCACTAAAAATCCAAACACTTGATTGGACGCTGCTGCTTAACAGTGGACAGGTTTTAGGTTTACTGAGTGATCTGAATCACCCTGCTTTGAATCACCCTTTCCATTAGGGAAGAGTCAACATAAATATTGACCCATTGCTGCAGTTTGAGTCAAAATTCTCCCTCCTTCTGTTCTTCATAACTCAGACCTTTCTTTTACCTTTCCGTATATGTATTATATTAATTTATATGTAATTGAAAACTGACTTAATTCTATCTTTTTATTTCTTCTTTGTGTATTTATTTATTGTTTGCCATTTCATTTTTTTCTTGAAGTTTTTCATATTTTCATTTTTAAATATATATATTTTTAATTTATTATACTTTGTAGTGATTTGACTTGAGTCGGATCATTTTCAGTCTGAGTTTGTGTGAAGTCAGTTAACCTCTTCCGCTGGTTGTCTCCTGTTGAACTGCTAAAAATCCTCCTGTGTCTTCTACTGTAGTTTGAGTTTACCTGAGATAAAGCTGACACTAGTGGAGCTGGAAAAGGTAATCTGTACTGTTTGATTTTCTTTTTATGATCATCATTTCTGTCAACACTTTCTGAACATCCAAATGGATTATTGTTATTTTTTTATATGTGGTTACAGCTTCAGATATCCACTGACGTGATGTTTAAGAAACTGAGAAAGGATCTTGGAAGGTATGAAATGTAAGAAAGATGAGGACATCTGTTATCAGTGAAAATAACTGACTCTTTTATTTCCCTTAAAAAGCACTATCACTGGGATTTAATGTTGCCCTAGCAACACCAGAAAATCCAAATAGTTGGGACACTGCTGGTATCCTGTTCAGATTTACGGAGTGATCTGGATCACCCTGCTGTGTCAAACTTGGATCAGGTCTTTACATTAGCCCAGGTTCCACATCTATTTTGAGCTATTGCCACATTCTGTGTCAAAATTCTCCCTCCTTCTGTTTTTCAAAACTCAGTGAAATGTGAACAGACTGACATGAAACATATATTGATATCATTCAGTGTGACTTAGACATCTCAAGGATATCATTATTGCTGATCTCCATCCAGAATACAAATCCATATCTCAATTTATAAATCAGACCGAAAAAACACTGCAGAATTTGCCCGAGAATCATGTTTGTAAGGTTAAATTTTTCTATCATTGTATCTTCTTTTATCCATATCATATCTATGTATTATTGTAGTCATACTTAAAGTGCAGTATACAACAATTCATATTATAAATCAGAAATTGTATGTCCAGTCATTACAAAACCTGCAGGATCTGTTTCATAACTGTTGAACCACGTGTGTAAATTTACCTTAAAACTGCCATGTGCAAAAGTTGTTTTAAATGAATAACTGTTTGTTAGTTATCTTTTTTGCAGGTGTCATAAACTGTCACAGCTCTCAACGTCAAATGGCCCAAGCTGGCTTGAACCCCAAAATCACCGATATATATATTTCAGTCTGAGTTTTTGTGAAGCCAGTATACCTGTGCCGTTGCTTGTCCCCTGTTGAACTTATTAAAAAAACCCTTCTGTGTCTCCGGCTGCAGTTTCAACTTACCTGAAGTAAACCTGAAAGAGGTCGAGCTGGAAAAGGTGATCTACAATTAGATTTTTTTATCATCATCATCATCATCATCATCGCTATTTCTGTCAAGACTCCCTGAACATCCAAACAACATTAATTTGTTATAAAACTTAAAAATGTGTTTACAGCTTCAGATATCCATCAACAAGATGTTCAAGAAACTGACAATGAATCTGGGAAGGTATGAAACATGATAAAGAGGAGATTTGAGCTGATGAAGAAATATGAGGAGAATGATGGCAAAATCTGTTATCAGTGCAAACAAAGATTCTGTTTTTACCCTTTGAAGGCACCAACTCTTGTGTGGGCCTGCCCCAAGAACTTCAAAACTCCCAACAGAAATGGACACTGCTGTTGTTAGTCACACATTAACAGCTGACAAGTTTCAGGCTGTTGAGTCCAACCTGTATCAGGTCTTAACATCAGGCCAGGTTTATTGATTTCTGACCCATTGCCACATTTTGAGTCAGCGTTCTCCCTCCTTCTGTTCTTCATAACTTAGTGAATTGTGAACACACAGACACACTTTGTGATAAAATACAAAGTGATATCATTCAGAGTGACTTACACTCCTTGAAGATTTTGTTTTCGCTGTTATCCATTCAAGTTTTTTCTCATTGCGGTCTGAAAAACAGTTCATCAAAAGTCACTGCCTGATATCAAATTGAGTCCCCCTTCATGTTAATTTGTTTTTTGTTTCATCAGAGAAAAGGCTGTGATGTGAAATTTTAATTTTAATTTTAAATTTCAATTTTATATACTTTCTTAATACCCAAGGGGGAAATTCAATCTTTTCACTCCGTTGTCATATACATATCCACACAGGCCCGAAATACACACACATGAAAAAAATTGTGATATTGTAATTTTATATGGGTAAAGTTAGCTAATGTCAGGGTGTTTGCTAAGGTTAACAAATTGCTAGCTAGTTAATGTAACAGAATACTGTCTTGAGTGGATAACATCAGCTCGGTGTAGTTAGTTTATAGCCTAATGTTAACCTTTTACTTCTGGCAATTGTATTGAGGATTCAAAAATCATTGAAGTGTTGTTCAGTTCTTTCAGTTATCCTTCCTAAAAACTGTAAATAACATACATGTTTGTTTGCCACAGATTTTATTTTCTGCAATAATCCAGAACTCAGTGGAAAAATTCCATAGGCTTTTTGACAAGGGAACCATGGCGATGCTAACATCCACACCAGACTACTGAAAAACATAATCCCTGGAGCACTCAGTGGTTCAAGTGACATACAAGAACAGTACAAATAGTAATGTTATTATTATTTTCCGCATTCTATCATCACGATGCCAGCCAATCGCTTTAGTCTCGTGTATTTCACATCATCAGTTGCTTACTCGTGGCTACAGAATACAGGTGTGGGCAACAGGATGCTGATTGTAGTTTAGTTAAGGACTACCTGTATTACACTGAACAAAAATATAAACGCAACACTTTTGTTTTTGCTCCCATTTTTCATGAGCTAAACTCAAAGATCTAGAACATTTTCTATACACACAAAAGACCATTTCTCACAAATATTGTTCACAAATCTGTTAGTGAGCACTTCTCCTTTGCTGAGAATAATCCATCCCACCTCACAAGTGTGGCATATCAAGATGCTGATTAGACAGCATGAATATTGCACAGGTGTGCCTTGGGCTGGCCACAATAAAAGGCCACTCTGAAATGTGCAGTTTTGCTTTATTGGGGGGTCTGGGGGGGGTCAGAAAACCAGTCAGTATCTGGTGTGACCACCATTTGCCTCACACAGTGCAACACATCTCCTTCGCATAGAGTTGATCAGGTTGTTGATTGTGGCCTGTGGAATGTTGGTCCACTCCTCTTCAATGGCTGTGTGAAGTTGCTGGATATTGGCAGGAACTGGAACACGCTGTCGTATATGCTGATCCAGAGCATCCCAAACATGCTCAATGGGTGACATGTCCGGTGAGTATGCTGGCCATGCAAGAACTGGGATGTTTTCAGCTTCCAGGAATTGTGTACAGATCCTTGCAACATGGGGCCGTGCATTATCATGCTGCAACATGAGGTGATGGTCGTGGATGAATGGCACAACAATGGGCCTCAGGATCTCATCACGGTATCTCTGTGCATTCAAAATGCCATCAATAAAATGCCCCTGTGTTCGTTGTCCATAACATACGCCTGCCTATACCATAACCCCATCGCCACCATGGGCCACTCGATCCACAACGTTGAGATCAGCAAACCGCTCACCCACACGATGCCACACGCTGTCTGCCATCTGCCCTGAACAGTGAAAACCGTGATTCATCCGTGAAGAGAACACCTCTCCAATGTGCCAGACGCCGTGGAATTAGAGCATTTGCCCACTCAAGTCGGTTACGACGACAAACTGCAGTCAGGTCGAGACCCCGATGAGGACGACAAGCATGAGACGGTTTCTGACAGTTTGTGCAGAAATTCTTTGGTTATGCAAACCGATTGTTGCAGCAGCTGTCCGGATGGCTGGTCTCAGATGATCTTGGAGGTGAACATGCTGGATGTGGAGGTCCTGGGCTGGTGTGGTTACATATGGTCTGCGGTTGTGAGGCCGGTTGGGTGTACTGCCAAATTGTCTGAAATGCCTTTGGAGACAGCTTATGGTAGAGAAATGAACATTCAGTTCACGGGCAACAGCTCTGGTGGACATTCCTGCAGTCAGCATGCCAATTGCACGCTCCCTCAAAACTTGCGACATCTGTGGCATTGTGCTGTGTGATAAAACTGAACATTTTAGAGTGGCCTTTTATTGTGGCCAGCCTAAGGCACACCTGTGCAATAATCATGATGTCTAATCAGCATCTTGATATGCCACACCTGTGAGGTGGGATGGATTATCTTGGCAAAGAAGAAGTGCTCACTAACACAGATTTAGACAGATTTGTGAACAATATTTGTGAGAAATGGTCTTTTGTGTGTATAGAAAATGTTTTAGATCTTTGAGTTTAGCTCATGAAAAATGGGAGCAAAAACAAAAGTGTTGCATTTATATTTTTGTTCAGTGTATTAACAGCAAAGATTTTCAGAATGTTAGATACGGCACCCTTAAATTCTGTTGTAATTCTGAAATGTTTTCTTGTATTTTATTTTCATTGATTTTTTATTTATTTTACTATGTCTATGTGATTTGACTTCAGTTACCTGTGCAGCTGTTGGTCGACTGTTGAACTGATGAAAATATTCCTGTGTCTTCTGCTATAGTTTAAGATTACATGAGATGAACTCAACAGAAACTGGAATAGGAAAAGGACACCACCATCCTCGTCCTCATCATCATCATCATCATCCTCATCATCCTCATGGTCATCAACATCATCCTCATGACTATACACTGGAAATACCTGAGATGGACTTTACACAGGTAACTTCTGCTGTTTGGTTTTTCAACATCACCATCATCACCATCATCATTATGATGAGATGATCATCATCATTATTTTTATCAACACTCTCTGAACATCCAAATAAAAATAAGTAGTTTAAAAAAAAATGTGGTTTAAGTTTCAGATATCCATTGACAAGATGTTGAGGAAACTGACGAATGATCTGCAAAGGTATGAAATGTGAGGAGAAGGAGGTTTGAGATGATGAGGAATATGAGGAGGAGGCTTGAGTGGTAACAAGTGAGGTGATTAAGATTATAATGAGTCTGTTGCACTGAGTCTATTATGAGTGCACATATTAATCTTGTGTTATTTCTCATTACTTTAAAATTGCACCGATTGTTGTCTTTCTATGCATAAGTCCTGTGATAGTCGGCGACCTCCTTCAGGGTGTACCCCGTCCCTCACTCAATGACAGCTGGGATTGATTCCAGATGCCCCTGACACTGTAAAGGATAAACAATTATAGAGGATGGATGGATGGATGGATGGATAGATGTTATTGCTCTTTAAAGGCACTATTGATGGTGTGGTAATTGGTAGTGGAAAAACCATAAAGAAGATGCATGTAAAAAATATATTACTGAAAAAAGATTGGTGTGTAAGACATAAAACTCACTTCTAGTTCTTACACTGGCTGTCTGCCTTGTGGGGAGGCTTCAATAGTGATTCTAATGTAGCAGCCAGGCATAGTAGTAGAGTAGAGGAAGGAATCACAAATACAGGAAAAGAGATATAGCGTTGGAGGGAGAGGCGCAGAATATGAGGGCAAATGCGCTGGAGAGGGTTACGTGGGCATTTATAGTAGTGCTGGAAGTGGCCAGGTAGAGCTGTTGTCCTGCTCCTAAAATTCTGTCAGATAGCTGCAATTCATGAGCAACAACCACACCATTAGCAAGATACATTTAAAGGATTTACTAAATAAAAATGACTGGTGTGCAATACTTGAATCTCGTTTATAGTTCTTTTGCTTGCCGTCTGTGTTCTGGGGCTTAGGTCGAGAACTGGTCATAGCACCTGGGAATGACAGACCCCCAAAACCTCCAGGTTCATAAGACAAGATTGGAAGGATCTAAGATCGTGTGACCTAACTGATTGTAACAGTTATAAGCACAGGAGGATCAATGGCCAATGATTTATATTAGGTGTTTGATATTAAGTGTTCTAGGATGCCATTGCAGGAGGCCACTCTAGTGGCTCTGATCCTAAAGAAGAGTCCAGAATAATGAACACCATTAATGCCAGACAAGGAGGATACTTGGCTGAAGTGGTGGTGGAGCTAGAAGTTACACATCCAGACTCAGAGATATAGAGAGAATCTGTCAGTGTCATGCTCTGGGATTTTCAAAATAGGAAGTACTTTGCAAGGCTCTTGAAGAATGTATTAGAGATTTGACTTTAAAAAAATAGAGTAATACGATCTGATACAGTCTGTGTTTTGGCTCAGTCAAAGTGATGGGTTATGGGAGTAAATTTGGAAAATCTGAGAAATTCAAACAGCAAGCAAAAACATGGCACAACATAACAATTCTGTATGAAGTGTGAATGCAGATCGATGGCAAGTCTGTGGTAAAAGTAATAAAGTGAGAGTTTTTTGTTGGCTATTGGTGTAGACGTTCTCTGAGAAGTGAAGTTATCAACTAGCCTGGAAATCCAGACTCAAATCTAGAAAGGTTTTGAGTCTGGCTGATGTCTGAAGGCCATGTCCTAGCTCCGCATCAGGAGAGTAAGCCAATGCCACTAAGCTAAACTTTAATGGTATGTGTTTTTATGACCATTGCTGAATAGGCATAGGTAACAAAACAGGTTCCAGTCCATGGGGTAATTATGTTTTACTGGTTGTGAAAGTAGCGGAAACTCTTCCAAGCTGACAAGTAAGACAAGAGGGTTGAGGGTGGCTATTGGTGTAGACGTTCTCTGAGAAGTGAAGTTATCTGTTAGCCTGGAAATCCAGACTCAAATCTAGAAAGGTTTTGAGTCTGGCTGATGTCTGAAGGCCATGTCCTAGCTCTGCATTAGGAGAGTAAGCCAATGCCACTAAGCTAAACTTTAATGTTATGTGTTTTTATGACCATTGCTGAATAGGCATAGGTAACAAAACAGGTTCCAGTCCATGGGGTAATTATGTTTTACTGGTCGTGAAAGTAGCGGAAACTCTTCCAAGCTGACAAGTAAGACAATAGGGTTGAGGGTGGTAGGTTATTGGTGATGGAGTTCTGGGAGTCAACGATCAGGGGTGCTGTGGCAGGGTTAACAGGTTAAACATCAGTGCAGAGTATGACAGAACCAGTGTTGAGTAGATGTCTGCAAGAGGGCCATGCTTCTCCACTCCTTAGCAATCACTTAGGAGCTCTTAGGACCCATCTGCTCTGAACCATTTTCTGTAGTAGAAGCTCCACAATCCCACAGAAGGAATGACATCGGTTTACAAATGGATGTCCTGTTGGTAAGTCATTTGTTTGTCATAGAGGGCGGTGATCCTGTTCCAGTTGGTGGCACGGATTGGCAAAAGACAGGTTTTGGCATAGCTTGAACTGTCCTGGGAAATGGAATTCAAGAGTGGTGGCACAGGAGAAGTGAGTGATCGTCAGTGAGAGATAAAGGCTTGTTCTAGGAGAGTGATGCAAAGGGTGCAGTTGAGGTGGCCCAGGAGGGAAAAGAGACATGCATTCGGTGCAGCATATAATGTGCATCTTGCTGGGAGACCCCAGTTGTCAGAAGTCAGGCTGCATATGGAAAACTGTGAAGCACTGATAATGCCTGCTTTCAAAGGCCACAACCATTTCTCTGTGATCAGGGATATTGTGGCACGATTTATAGACTGAACATCAGTGCAAAGTGTGTGGGAACCAGTGTTGAGTAGGTGTCTGCAAGAGGGCCACACTTCTCCACTTCTAGCAATCACTTGGGAGCTCTTGGGACCAAGTTGCCAAGAGTCAGGCTGGATATGGAGAACTTTAAAAGCTCTGGTGATGTCCACTTTCAAAAGCCACAGTCATTTCTCTGTGAGTTTAATGAGGATAATTGCATGGCTGATGGTGGCATAGTAAAGGAAGAACTTTCTACTCCAAATCAAGTTATTAATGCTATCCATTGACTTTGGTTGATTTAAGACTGGCTGATTTATTATTATTTTTATTTATTTTTTTTGCACTGAACAGAGATGGGTGGTTGAGGGGAAATCCTTCTTTAAATCTCAAGGTTAGGAAAGTGAGGTTGTCAGGGCACGCAGTGAGGCCCTGGGCTCCAGTGCCAAAGGAGCAGATGCGGAGGAAGTGTCACTGAGACATGATGCATCCAGCATTGTTGCAGTTACTGCATATGGTGCAGGCTATTTGGTGCATCATAAACCTGCCTTTTTTATTTATGCTGTTGGATGCAGGGGTAATGGCAGATGGGGCTGATGATGCAGGTTTTGATGGTATGAGTGCTGACAATGCTACATGTTGTGAAGCCAGAGTGGTCTGGATGATAGCAGGAGGTTGGAGTTGTCCTCCAAGACAATGGAGTTTAAGAACTGCAGCAACTGAAAAGTCATTGTCCATGAATTTCCACGTTCTCTCTTTTCTGATGAGGGAGATGAGCTGGAAGAGGTGAATTATGGTAGTCTTGTATGTTTGGGAAAGAACAAACGAGCAGGATATGGACCATGGAAGAGCCTGTTTTGAAGCTCGCTGGACTCTCTTGCTTCCTGGACAACTTTTTCTAGGTTACAGAAAGCAGAGTCTCAGACACAGAGGCAGCAGAGCAGTTTTCTGCTTCTGTTGCTTGGTCTGCTGATGTGGGCTGATAAAAACTTTGGACATGGTCAGCCTGATTTTGTCTGAATAGATTGTTGTCAGACGGGGATAATGAGACAATGTCCATACTCAAGATATGGTGAGTGGAAGGATGATGTTGCTCATTAGATCACGTAATAGCTCACTTTTCTGTGTGTGCTCAAGGCAATAATATGCCCCAAAATGCAAGAGCAAATAAGGAGGAGAGTAAGGTAGGTATTGCTAGAAATGCTTGGGGTGGCATGGTTTAGGTCTGGTCTTCCACTACTCAATAGCTTCCTTTAAAGTGTGCCCTGCCCGCTACAAAAAATCCAAACACATGACTGGACGCTGCTAAGTACACTCACACAATAACTGTACAATACATATTAATATTATTCAGTCTGACTTACACATCCTGAGAATGCATGATGTGCACCCAGAATTAACATCCATAAATTCACTTAGAAATCATAGAAAAATGAGGTTGCAGAATCTACCCGAAAATCATGTCTTAAGTTGAAGTTTTACTTTGATTTGATCTGTTTTAATCTTTACTTGGACAGTATTGGACAGTTAATGTAGATTGTTTGGAATTTTATTTTTTTCTTTCTATTCATATTTTATTTATTTAATAAATATTTATATTTGTTTATGTTATTAGATAATTTATTAGTTGATCCTGCCTTTAGTTTTTCTATTTTCTATCAAGTTTTTTTTTAATTTATTTATTTCTTGTGTTAGTCCTAATTCATTTTTAAATATTGTTTTTAACTTTCTTGACATTCATAAGTGTGTGTGAAGTCAGTAAACCTGCAGCTGTTTGCTGTTGAACTAATGAAAATCCTCCTGTGTCTTCTGCTGTAGTTTGAATTTACCTGAGACGAAACTGATAAAGGTGGAGCTGAAAAAGGTAATCTACTCTGTCTGATTTTTTTTTTAATCATCATCATCATTGTCATCATCATAATCACCTATTTCAACACAAACAAACATAACTTTTTATAACTTGTGGTTACAGCTTCAGATGTCCCTCAACGGGATGTTTAAGAAGCTTACATTGGCTATGGGAAGGTATGAAGTGTGAGAAAGAGGAGAACATGGAGGTTTGAGATGATAAAAACTGTTCGGAGGTGGAGGGTTAAGTCCACTATCAGTACAAATATTGATCCTATATGGTTCTTTATCCATAAGTTTTCAACATGCCTTTTTTCTAAACCTAACCACAGAAACTTAACTTTCCTACACCTAGACTCTGTAACCATATGTTAATTATGTAACTGTATGTTAAGGTAACGTTTTTCATAGGGTGCACATTCACAGGGATGTCATACAAACTGTTCTATGAGAATATGTTGGCTGAATCGGTTACCTGGCCTGCAGGCAGTTACTGCTCACCGCTGTGATATTTTTGGGGGCGTTTTTGCCTTTAATCGATATGAAAGCTGAGCATGAAAGGGGGATAGAGAGAGGAAATGACATGCAGCAAAGGGCCACAGGCTGGAGTTGAACCTGTGCCACTGCAGCAACAGCCTTGGACATGGGGCGCCTGCTCTATCCACTAAGGCACGGACACCCCGTTCATATTCATTTATGACTGATTCCCAAAGTTTAAATTCAAAATTTTCCCTCCTTCTGTTCTTCATAACACGTAACATGTGAAAACACATATGAAACAACCTTTGATATAAGTGTGACCTACATTTCTCTTTTTTTTTTTTTTTAAATTTGGTATATATTATGTTAGTATTTTATTTATTTTTACATAGTTTTGTCCTCCCTTTTTACTTTCATTTTTTTGTAATATTCATTTTTATTTTATTAAATCATTTATTTCATTCTAGTTTTATTGCTTTTTATGTAACAGTGTTTTCCATTTTGTTTATTTCTTTAAATTTCAATATTTTATTTTTAAACATGTTTGATTTATTCATATTTTTGCTTCAGTCAGGCCATTTTCAGTCTGAATTTGTGTGAAGTCAGTTAACCTGTGCTGCTGTTTGTCTCCTTTTTAACTGATGAAAATCCTGCTATGTCTTCTGCTGTAGGGTGAAATTTTCCACAATGAACTTGACACAGACAGAGCTGGAAAAGGTCATCTAAGCTGTCTGATGTTTTCAATTCATCATCATCTTCATCCTCATTTCTGAACATCTAAATGAAATTGTTATTTCTGTTTTTAAATGTGGTTACAGCTTCAAATGTCCATTGACATGACATTCATGAAACTGATGAAGGTTCTGCAAAGGTATGAAATGCGAGGAGGAGGAAGAGGAGGTTTGAGATGATGAAGAAAATGAGGAGAAGGCCAAAAATATTGATTTTGTTATTTCCCTTTAAAGGCAATATCAGTAGGAATTTAATGTGGCTCTTGCAGCTACAAAAAAGCAAACACATGATTGGACACTGCTGCAGTCACCCACACCTTAACAGCTTTCAGGTTTATTAAACCCACAAAAAAACCCACTAACACCTCTTAACATCTGACTTTTTTATTTTATGAAAAAGGTTACAATCAACATTCACTCCAGGGACACATCATTCTGCAGTAGTCACTGGTATATCAGTTTCAGCTTCGATCAGCTCTAATCAGCAGTGATGAAAATATGACACCCACCTGGACACGCTAAATCTTTTACCAGCACCACCACAAAACACCATCCGCCTCCATCTGAGCTGCACTCGAACACCATTCGAAATCTAGTCTGCACTTAGTTTGAAAGAGACACTAAATAAATAACATAAATAATAATAAATATATAAAAAAACATAGTAACCACCACAGCATTTTCACTGGCCTTCATGATGCTTTCTACTGTTCACTAACCTGTTTTCCAGCCTGTTATGATATGAAACACATATTGATATCATTTAGTGTAACTTGCACTTCCCCCAGAGTATCAGTGTGTCTGATGTCCATCCAGAATAAACGTCCCTAAATCGATTTTGAGATAATAGAAATAACCCTTTTTTAATTTTTTAATTCTAGTTATTTATTCATTGATGTTATTAAGTAATATTTTTGTAGTCTAATGTTCATTTGTTTTATGTTTATGTTTCTTTTTTATTTCTTCAAGTTTGTCATATTTCATTTTATTTTTTCTTTAGTTGTTTTTCTGTATTCATATTTTTAGTCATTTGACATGAGTAGAATCATTTTCAGTTTTATATTCAGAGTTTGTATCAGTAAACCTGTGTAGCTGTTTGTCTCCTGCTGAACTGATGAAAACTTTCCTGTGTTTTCTGCTGTAGTTTGGATTCACATGGATTCAAGATTGACATGATAGTGGTGGAAGTGGAAAAGGTAATCTTACTGTTTGATTTATTTGAATAAATTTCTCTTTAATTTTATCATTATCATCATCATCATCGTCATTTATGTCAAGACTCCCTGATCATCCAAACTAAATTCATTTATTTTAAAACAAAAAATGTGGTTACAGATTCAGATGTCCATTGATGAGATGTTCATGGAACTGATGAATGCTCTGAGAAGGTATGGACTGTGAAGAGGAGAAGGAGGGTTTTAAGATGATGATGAATCACATGAGTCAATTCAATTCATCAATTTATGTGCGGCAGTTGAACTTTTTGGGTTCATGCCCCACTGAGCAATTTTTATAGGAATGAGTGGAGCCCCAACTCCAACACTGTGTCCAGGTCTCTTCTTACAGCCATTGTTTTAGCTGGGTAAACTAAACTAAACACCAACAAATCTCAAGCTTGGTAATTCTGTCTTGAGTGGATAGAATAGAGATCTTTATTGTCCACTCATGGCAATGTGTCTTCAGCTTCACATAACTAAAAGCTTCAAGTATATGCATACACTAAAACATTTCACAGACATTCATACACTAAAAAACTCAAAGTGCACACAAAATACATTTTTCTCAAAGATAGTTCCTGCAATTTTGGATAGTTCTTATCACGCTGATATTTGTTCAATTTGATATTTGTTTTTTTCTGATAACATTGCTTTTAATTAGTTATTTAATGTTATACAAAGGGGATACAATGTCATGATTGACAACTATGTGTGCTAGTTGGTGTGCTTACAATCAATGGCACTGCTCAGGATTGGTCAGACAGGTGTGTGGGAGGGATGTTACCAGTGCACGATGGCAGTGGCTTTATCCAGAATATTCTGGATAAAGCCCCCCCCCCCCATTAAAGGGTTTTTTGGGGGGAGTTTTTCCTTATCCGCTGTGAGGGTCCTAAGGACAGAGGGATGTTGTATGCTATAAAGCCCTGTGAGGCAAATTGTGATTTGTGATATTGGGCTTTGTAAAAAAAACTGATTGATTGATTGACGTAATGTTAATAGATTGTTGATATGATTAATGTAAAGACTCTCTAATTCATCATTGCCCTTACATGTTAAACTCAATATTGCCTTGCATCTGCATTCTTAGAAAGAAAAAAGTTGCTGTCATAGATCTGCATTTCACGTATGTACATTGAAAAAAGTGGAGGAGATAAAACGCAGCACTAGGACACCAAATAATTAAAAATTACTTCATCAAATACTTCATCAAAATTGTACAAATACTATTTGGGGACAGTCAGATTCTTTGAACTTCCAATTCACTGTGCAAGGTGTCCGTAGATTTAACAAAATGTCTGTCCTGATTGTGTTACAAGTTAAACTAAAATCTAAAAATCTATAAAAAATATAAATCTCCAGCATGAGCCTCAGGGTGCTGGGTGTGTTTAGTAACCATGTGCAGTAGTGTTAATGTATCATCTTCAGTACCTCTCTGTGCTTTAAGGTAAATTGGAGGTTGTCTAGCTGACCATGGGGAGATGTTAGTCGCCCCAGCATAACTCTTTCCATGCACTTGCTGGTAAGAGCAATGGGTGTGAGCTTATTAGGTGAGGCACTGGAATAATTGTGGATGTCTTCTATGAAAGTTTTCATCAAGCAGATCCCAGAATAATCTTGTAAAAACACCTTTGAATTGAGAAGTGTACTCTACAGTGGCTCCCCCTTTGAGACCATCTGGGCCTGGAGCTTTGTGTGACCTTATGTTTTTCAGTAAGTGTGATAGGATCCTAGACTAAGCTACATACTGTCAAGTGTGTCCAAATGAGTGTCTCAAAATCTACTGTAAAACTGGTGTAGCTTATTGGCAAAGGAGAGTGTAATCAGTAGGGCTGGGTATCTTTTAAAAAATTACAATAGCACTACCAATACCTTTAGAGTGATACTGATGCCAGTAGAGTACTTCATTTAATACCTATAGTGTGAATGGAGCGGCACATATACCATAAAACTTCAATTATTTGCTTTAGTCACTGCTGCTGAAGCTGCTGCTACTGCTGAGTATGAGTTTCACACCGGAAAAAGGTGTGAGTCTGCCCGGCTACATACATTCAGTGACAGGGCTAACTGTTAGCATAACATAGTTTTTCATCAATGGGTTTAAAGATAGTCGAGCCGTTTCAGTGTCTGTGTGAATTTGCTGGGACCATTTAACAGCATGGTATTAGATGTTAGATGCTGCTGCAGTTGTGTAGCTTGTGCCTAAGGTTACTGGGCAGGCATTGAACAGACTGTTTGCCAAGAGGATAGCGGCTCTGCAGATGGCTATAACAGAAAGTCTGCTGATGGTCCTGGATCAGACCCCTGGAGAAAAAGGGATCGGATGCCATTTGACTGGAGTTATTTGTGGTACTACTTGGCACTGGGTTATTTAGTTTGATGCCTCAAAGTCATCGAGCACTGCTACCCAGCCCTAGTAACTAAATGAGTAGGCAGAATTATTTTCTAGCTTCTCTGCCCATCACTATATTGAGCCTGGCCAATGCTTTTTTTGTATCGCCAGTAATAAATTGTTTCTCCATTTTGTGTCTATGCTGTTGTCAGGATCTTTTAATACTAAATATTGCATGCAAAAAGTGCATAGTTTGTGCCCAAATCTGTATGGGTTAGGGGTGTAATGGTACACAAAAATCTCGGTTCAGTACGTACCTCGGTACACAAGTCACGGTTCGATTTTTTTCGGTACAGTAATGAAAAAAATAGACAACTATTAAATATCTTTTACTTATTAGTAACCTTATTAAAACATACCACCACAGCAGTTAACTCTTTTTACACAATTTTTGAATGAAACAAATATATATAAAATCCTGCTTTTTCACATTGTTTGAATGAAAATATAAATATAAATTTCTGCTTAAACAGTTTTACTCAATTAAAATAAAAAGTATAGTGCAGCTGGTCAGCTTTAAAGCCTGCTCAGATTCAGTTTTACTAGGAACTTACTTAGCTTTTAAAGTGCAGTAAATAAAACATGCTTATATCTAAAGTGCAGCTTAAACAATTTTACTCAACTCCAATGGCGTTGGTTATTTCTTTAACGCGATGGTCAGGGAAACGCTCTCTCTTTTTAATCGACGACGATATCGTAGTTTGCACCAGATTGCTTTTTCTTGTCGTGCCGGTTAACGTTCAAACTCGGGTGGTGTCGCTTTAGATGCGATTAGCATGTTAGACATGTTTCCAAGTACATACCTGACCGCTGTTCTGCAGTGTCGGCACACTGCTTTTGTCTTGTCAACTTGTTTATTTCCATCTTCGTATTTTACCCTGAGACCAAAGTGTTCCCGATCGGAGGACTTAAAGTTTGCGGGTGGGTCTTCAGGTTCGTCAGGCTCACTTGCCATGTTGTCAAAATGCGAGAATGTGCTGCACAAAGTGAAAGCGGAGATTTACGGGACTCGGTCCGTCACTCAATTATGTCTGTCAGGGAACTAGATGTTTTAAATGGTTCGGCTCGCAAAAACAGAATTCAAATAAAACAAAATAAAATAAAATATTATCCTGCGCCCAATAATTCGGTACAGGGTCATGCCGAACCGAAAGTCGCGTACCGAACGGTTCGACACAAATACATGTACCATTACGGCCCTAGTATGGGTCTAACATAAATTGGACATGACTGTAAAGGGGAGACTCGTGGGTACCCACAGAACCCTTTTTCATTGAGATATCTTAAGCTGAGAGATTAAGGGATTGCTGTGAAAATTTCAGAGAGGCTAGCATGATTTCATGATTTCCACTGGTACCACTGGATTCCTTAGCTCTTTTAATTTAATGTGATACCAGTATCATCACTCTAGCTTTAAAACTGAGCCAACTGTAGCCTTCAAAAAACAGTCAGTGGCGAAAATGGCAGCATGCGATTAACACATTAACACTGACAGCCCTAATCATTATTTTTATAAATTATTTTATCGCATATTTATTTATTTTTGTCACTTTATGTGTTTTTCATTGTCTTTATCTCTTTAGTTTGTCATATTTTATTGATATTTTTAGTGACTTGATTTCAGTCAGATCATTTTCAGTCAGAGTTTGTGTGAAGTCAGTAAACTTGTGTAGCTGTTTGTCTCCTGTTGAACTGATGATGTTTCTTCTGTTATAGGTTGAATTTACCTGAGATGGACTCAACAGAAGCTGAAGAAGGAAGAGGCAGTCAGCAGGATTTGATTTTACATCACCGTCCTCATCATCCTCATCCTCATCCTCATCCTCACCTCCATCCTACTCATCCTCACCCTCATCCCCATTATCCACATCATCCACATAACTCGGCTGAGGTATCTGAGCATGAGAAGATTACAGAAATCCCAGTTGATTGGAGAAGGGAGCGTCTGGTAAGGTATGTAACAATGAAGTTGATGGTAGGTCTGAAGTGGTTAGCAGGGAGCAGAGGAGTTGGCACTAGATGAGATTACTTGTTTTGGACGGAGATTTCATCTGATTTGTGATTGTCTACAGCTGAACTGACAAATTCTTCCTGTGTCTTCTGCTGTAGTTCGGATGTACCTGTGATGCGTGTGACAAATGTGGATTTTGGAAAGGTAATCTACACTGTTTGATTTTTCATCATCATTTCTGTCAACACTCTCTGAACACCCTAACAAAAATAATAAAATTGTGGTTACAGTTTCAGATGTCCATTGACGAGGTGTTGAAGAAACTGACTAAGGATCTGGGAAGGTATGAAACATAGTAGGAGGTGGAGGAGGTTTTAGATGCTGAAGAATAATAGGAGCAGGTTTGAGTGGTAACAAGTAAGGTGATGAAGATTATGAAGAGGAGGGGACTAAATCTAATATAAGTACATCTATTGATTCTGTCGTAGGCAAAATTAGCTTAATCTGGGGAAATGTAGCATTAATCAAAATCAATATGTAAAACTGTATTTGCCCAACAATATCAACTTATAATGATGTCATTACACAATAACACTAGTGAACCATTTCTCTTGGTGATCAATCAAGAGTATTGGTAATGCTACATTGTTTGGTCAAGGATTAATTTTATACTCAAGTTAAAAAAACAAACAAAAAAAACATAGAGTTGCTGAAAGTAAGTTACAGAAAACCAGGGCAATGACTTTGTATTAAAAACATTTATTATTATCACTATTAAAAGAGAACTCTACAGTGACACACACAAAAAAACACTACACATACAATGGCAATACCCAACTGATTAATAGCTACATTTTCAGATAAAGTGTTACACTACATACAGACAGCTTTCATTTTAGTCAGCCCCACTAGCGCGATGTGCTTGTGTGAACCGCAATTGTAAACCATAATAGCAGTGAATAAGAGACTGCGTACGGAACAGATTGAAATATGACTTTCTACATGCTGAACACATGTACTGATAAAGTATTGGCTTTTTACTGGCAGAGGTTTTATTGCACTTACTTATAGTAACAAGCATAGTTGTCGCCAACTAGAGTAATCTTTATGTTATACTCCCCCTCTGCTGTTGTCTGACTTCACTCTGTTATGTTTGTGTGTGTGTGTGTGTGTGTGTGTGTGTGTGTGTGTGTGTGTGTGTGTGTGTGTGTGTGTTGTGAGGAGGAGGTTAGCCCTGACATGCAGGAGAGAGGCTGCAGCATGATGATACATGAAACCAAAACTTTAAAAAGTAACGATATGAGCCATTAATGTGGAAGCTTATGTTATTACGGTCTTGATTAAATTTGCCTCGGACTGTTTAATACCAAGTCTCGGTACCCATTCCTGCCCGGGCCACTCAGACATTGCTTCTGGGCCGCATTTGGCCCGCGGGACGCTAATTGAATAGGCCTGATTTAGATGAAGAAATAACTGAGGTTAGTTGTTGAAGGGTAATCGCAGAGAAGCACTCCAAATATATATCAGGTCTTACAGCTGTGTTTAAGGTCCCTGTATTTAATGGCAGATTGGTACTGTCTGAGAGGCGGTGAACTGTGGTGAAAGCTCCCTGTAACCCATCAGTTTTCTGAAAGTGAGTGACAAAAGTCTCAACATCGGCCAATGGTGGCCAGGTCAGTGATGTCTTCAGGCCAGTTGCTTAGGTCAAACATGGTGGCAGCGGCCTTCAAGACACCCATATCAAGACTGCCAAACCGCGTGGTAAGGTTGTCTCAGAAGAAGAGTTTTACACCAGAGAAAGTGTTTCCAGGAAAAGGTCCCACTTCATCCAGGAACTGCTTCAGATGCTGACCTGGAACTGTCTGAAATACAGAAGAAAAAAACTTTTACTGTCACGATTGCTAAACGTACACTGTAGCATGTTAATTCCTCTCTAGGGAGTTTATTTTATTTACCTGCATGGCTACACGAGCCAGGGTCGTCTTCTGCAGTCCATCTGACACCATCTGCAATGTCAGCCCATCCCTCTGAAAGAAAAGGCTCAGAATTAAACCCATAGCTAGACACATTTTATCTAACTTCCCTTGTTTTTAATCCACAGCCTAGTACTGAATTACTTTCACAATTGTTTTACAAGAGTGATAACAAAACACTTACACACTGAGCCTGATACAAACTTCAATTGCCAAAATGTATGAAATGCTCCTTTAACCTTACTGACGGAGAGGAATGAAGTCAGGCTATGGCGTTAGCAAATCAGCAGTAGCATGAACATGACACAGCCTATATCCATTTGCCTGCTCAACATAACACACAGCTCATGATGCTCCTAACACATTCACTCTGCCCATCTTGCTTCACACATTTACTGTCACTCTTGTATCTCAACCATATGCATCGTCACACACATTTCGCTCACTTTAACTCACACAGAATGTCATTAGCGACGCAGTTAGCTACCAAAGCTATTTCTAGGGGCACCCTCCACGAGCTACGACACACACACACACACACACACACACACACACCCTCTTAATCACAGTCAAAGTCAATGTCTCTGAGTGTCACAGTTACACACTAAGGTTCTGCTAAAACATACTACTGTTATCTGGGTGTTCATTATACTCAGCTTACCTGTAGGAAATTTAGAAACATGACTGGCTGCTAGTTCAAGTATGACCTTCATCTCTGTAGCTAAAGTTGCTAGCCTAATTATTACTGACTGAATGAACCAAGTACACCTCTTCTGATTAACTGTAATGTTACCGTCATTATCATAAACATCAAAATTTAGAACACACAGTCACATTTTATAACTTTGTAAGGCCATCATGTACATGATTAGCTGAGTTGCTAGTGTTAGCTATAGACATATATACATAGACGCTGCATTGACTGTGGAGGGGCGTGCCTAAAGCACCGCCATCTTGGTACAGGGCTAGCAGAGGCGGTAGTGCATGTACATCTATGAAGGAAAGAGGTACTCCACAATCGGAAAGTAGAATTATTCACTGAATTTTCGACCGATTTCCAAATGGTTTGATTTGTTAAAAACGTCACGTGTAGCTATGACACAGGATGCTTGGACATTTTAAAAATGCCGGTTTTACTACCCAAATACAAATTCTACTTAATGTTTTCAGCAGACCGGCATCTTTTTCAGTCAGAAGACTGACTTTTGTGCCGCTTATGGATGTTCAAATGAGCGGAATTTACAAACCAGATCCTGTGGAATCACTTTTCACAGGTAAGGTGTACGTAAGGGAAAATATCGAGTAAGCAGGTTGTTAAATAGTGAAATAAACCCTGACAGGAAGGATAGAAGCCCTCCCCTCCGCATCCGGGTTCTATCCATAATATAACCAGCTCACTTTACGTTTATCCCACGTATTACACAGCTGCTTACTAGTGAAATAACTAATATGAGACATAATTTTGGTTAAAATGCAATGTTATTATTGGGGCATCGGTGGCTTAGTGGTAGAGCAGGCGCCCCATGTACAAGGTTGTTGCCACAGTGGCCCGGGTTCGACTCCAGCCTGTGGCCCTTTGCTGCATGTCACTCCCTCTCTCTCTCCCCCCTTCCCGCTTGTCTGTCCTGTCAAATAAAGGTTAAAAATGCCCAAAAAATATCTTTAAAAAAAAAAATGCAGTGTTATTTCATCTATAAACTGCCTCTGGTCTGAAAAAAGAAACAGACCTTAGACTGCAGTGATTGACCAGTTAGGAGATTAATGATAGATATTGGATGTGTATATTTTATACCTACAATAATAATAATAATAATAATACTGACAATTGTTGAAGCCAATTTAGATTTGTACGGCGTGTATGTGTTTCTATGTGTGAATGTGGGTGTGTGTCTTTGGTGAGGCACTATGGTTGCTATGGTTACCTGCACATCTGGGCATAGGTAGTAATCAGCCAGGCAGAGGTTAGATAAGGGAGACACAGGTGATTAGGATCTGGGGAAGCCACACAGTTTTTCAAGCGTGCCTGTGTGTGTGACCGTCTAAACCATCTAATATTTTTGTCCTATTGTATACAAGCTCGTTTTAAGTCATTCGGCACCCAGCCTTTTGTAGGTGTTTTTAAGACTCGCATGTTAATAAAGTGTTAAACGCACATCCATGGCAGACCTCATTTTTACACACCATCACGAGTTGGAAATTGTAGCTAGATTGCCACCATAATAATGACAATAATGAGAGTGATAATAAAAATAATAATAATAACGATAATAATAATAAAATTAAAGCTGCAAGCAGTGATGAACGGGACCTCGGGCTCTCACTTTCGGCCTCCAGCTCACATAGACAGTGCGAATTATTAGTAAGAGTCAAAATGTCGATAAAACAAGCAATGTCAAGAGAACGCAAGGTCATTTTTGGGAAATAGAGGGACTTTATATTACAGTACATTACAATATGTATTTAATTTTCAACCAATGTATTAACTAAAATGTAACTGTGATATGTCAGCTATGGAAACAAAATGTCTTGTCCAAAACATCCACATTGAAATGAAATACACTGTCATGATTAAGTAATTATATAATGTTAACAGCAACATGTGTGTCTGTCATACTGTTAAGAATTGAAGTGTTCCCCATGTACTGCAAAAAACAAAGGTCTGTGGTGACAGTACTCCTGCTTTGTTGTGTAACACATTGTGATGTAAGTACATGAATGTGTAAATACATAATATACATTTTAACAGGATAACAAATATTAACATGGACAAAACATGAATTATAAAGGAGAGTAAATCATAAAAGAAAACAATTTTTACAAAGACTAAAGTGGTGATTAAACAAAGGAGCTTGTAATTTTGGAGGGTAACATTTCCTCAAAGATGTGTATACTTTCCTGATGTAACAGCAGGCAGACACTAGTTAATTTCAGCGCACTAGCTCATTTCCTGCTGGATTTAGGTCAGTAGTGTAAATGAGTGATTTTTAGGTCTCGAGGAGACAAAGAATCCAGTTTTGGTTTGATCTTTCTATATCATTCCTACAGGGTGCAGCAGCCATTTTAGTGTGTCTAAATGGTGCAAAAATTGTCAAGAGGTTTTGTGACATGTCACCTTTAACAGGGCATAAAATCCAAACCGTTTGAGTAATGACAAAGTTGTTCAGAGGAATTGTTTAGCAGGGCTTGGTCTGTCATGTGTGCATGTTTGAAGTCGATACGATAAATGGTGTAGGAGGAAATATGTTTTTAATAAGAGAAATTTTTGAAAAATGACATCTAACTTTGAAAGGGCAAACAGCTCACTTCCTGTTGGATTTAGGTCAGGGGTATCAGTGCATGCTTTGTAGGTCTTGATGAGACGAACAAGCCAGTTTTGGTTTTGTTTCTCCACGACATTCGTACGGGTCGCACCAGCCAAAGCACTTCCTCCTTCGGCCGAGGTCCCTAATTGTAATGATAATAGCAATATTAATTATAATGAGCGTGATGATAATAATAATAAAAATAACGATAATAATACTAAAACGATAATGATAATAGCAATATAATTATAATGATAGTGATGATAATAATAACAATAACAATAATAATAATAATAATAATACAATGATAATGATAATAATCAAATGCAATATATACCCTACAAGCAATTTTCTAAATAAAGATAAGTTTATGTCTGTATCTGTCTGTCTGTCTGTCTGTCCTCCATGTCTGACGTTTGTAACCAACAACCCGCGTGAATATATGTTGACAATTGAACAATTTATGATCACTTTAATAGTGCAAACGCGTCATTCCTCTATAGACATAATGCGCTGTAGGTGCGAGCGGCACTGTACCAAGATGGCCACCGAGTAGGCATTTCGCTCCAATCGGCAGCAGCAGTCAACGCGGCGTCTATGTATATATGTCTATGGTGTTAGCTATGGCAAAGTACTAGAACTAGCTAA